ACCAAGGGTCCGCTGTCTGTCATGAGATTTTCCTGAAGTAAAGGCCCTTCCCACTGTGAGTAATGCTATCGCAGCCTGGCAAAAAGTCTCAATGAAATCTATCAAACAAACTCGTAGAAAATGACTTTCATCATTTCAGCATTCACGCCAACCTTTTGCCCAGCGAGAGGCTGAGGGCAGGGCAAGCAGCACCCGCAGAGGGAGACCATCGGTGGGAGAAAGGAGTCTTGTGCACCAGTACTGAGACTGAAAAGGAAGAAGCTGTAAAAGCACTGTGCAACCGCTTGCTGAAAATGCTCTCAGTGAGCACGCTGCCTTTTCATATGGGGCCTACTCATGTTCCACAAGGTAACATGCTTTCTACTTCTTCGTTTTCCTCATTCCATTGGTAGATTGGATTTAAAAGTAAGTCAGTCAGTCACTTCAAACATTTACTCCTCTAAAATGTCAAATGGAGTCAAAATCACATCCATCACAAATGGTGAAACATCTTCACATCAGACTTTCAGGTTTGACTCATTTGCCCGCTGCAGGGATATCATTCTTTCTTGCTAAATATTCCCATTACTTAGTCCCTGTCATGGGAAAGGAGCATTCAGTGAACGGGCAAGATTGACTGTGAGCTACACGAGTCTCCCTTGCAAGCCCAAATTCACCTAACAAACATCCACACTTTTTTCACCTAAGTTCACGCCTATATACAAACATAGGGTGAAAACATTTCTAGAGTAGAAAGCATGAGCACACTTGATGTCTTCCTTGAGGCTTAAATCTTTGTTTGTGTGGCCTGAAGCTGAATGTGCTAGCAGGTATTTTAAGCATACGCTGGATGCTTGGGGCCAACAGTTAGCAACAAGGATGGAAGGTCATTGCGCTTAGTGTGTTTTTGAGACTGTTTTAATCTTGAAACTGGAACAAAGCCTGAGACTATCCATTCTACTGACAGGGCTTCTTTGCTCTGAAGAATTTCGCAGACAACAAAGATGGCTGTGACTCACTGGGCTCAGTGTTCAGGTCAGAGTTTGCCTGAAAGAACTGAATCAGTTGAAAATCTTACTCATCTAATGCTTCCTATAATTAATTTTATTAATTTACATTTGTAGAGATTCGTAATGCAAATATTAAGGTTGGTACAAATGAAGAGCGAATGGAAACCTGTGTGTCTGTAAGCACCAGAAGAAAGAGCAGAGCGAAGAGTTAAAAGAATGGCCTATATTGAAAATAAAGGACATGTTTCCAGGACACCATTCCTGTATTGTTTATATCAAGGCCACAGCACAGAGGACTTGCCAGCAGATGACTGTGCACTCTGACACCAGGTGGATAATATCACGGTTGCGGCATATCACCTATACCATTACTTTTCCTGTTAGCCCATCCAGAAAATAGGCTATAGACATAGCCTATATACTCCAGACGAGGAAAAATGTACTAAGAGCTGATGACTCCTAAAGGGTATAAAAGATCTGTCCGTGAACCAGAGAGACAGGATCAGGAGTCAGGAGCTGGCGTACATTTTCCCACGCTGCACGTAAGTGATGCTCACCAGGCCACTTGAGCACTCATATCTTGGTACTTGTGAGAGTATGGGTGTGAGTGAATGAGATCGATGAGAGGGTGACTGTGAGTTAAAAAAAACAGCTTATTTAGAGATTTTGTAATTATATATCACCTTCCCTTTCCCAAAGACCTCACACCAAATTTTGTTACACGAAACACTCTAAACTTTAAATGGTATAAAAAAAGTTTCAAAAAGTAGCAATATTCTATGCTTCCATGAGCCTATGCAAAGAGAAGAAAATTGGCCTTTTTGTTTTCCCACTGAGTACATTTTTGCAGTCCACCTTAAACATGAAAAGAGACTTCTTTACTGAAATATTAATACTGGCATCATTAGCTACATCTAGCTACATCGGCTACATCTAGCATCTAGCTACATATAGCAGCATCTGTTTGCATTTTTGCAGATGCTTGGTTTTGACATATCTATTAAAACATGTATGAGTAAGTGGTATTCTGCATTACACCTGTATGATTCCAGGGCAACTCCATTAGTGTTACTGACTGCACTAGACTAAAACTACATGGCTACTATGCTCTTGTTTTTGTTTGGTGGGGTTTTTTTTTAAAAGCTGTGTATACAAAACCTTAGAGAGACCACATTCTGTATAAAAGCTAAATAAAATGGCATCGCCAGCTTGCTGGGTGTATTATGAAATACCAACCTTCAGTGACCTTATGGTGTTACAGTGTCATAGGTAAAAATCTAGTGAAAGATGAAAGGTGCATAATGTAGCATTTTAAACATAAGCATTCATGATTTTACATACTGATTTAGTAGATATATTAGTGTATATGTATATATATATGTAGTACAGAAAGCTTTAGAAAATAGTAAAAAAGTCTCATTAATATTGTCTGTAGTAGAGAGAAGAAATTCTGCACTCAAGACATTTTTGGAGTACCTACAGAAATTCACCTATCCTAACTTCCGATGTTTAAAAGACATCTCAATCTAACATAGTCACCTTATAAACTCTTTATTATCAGTGGAAAGAAACGGGCATCTCCAGTAGGTGAGTTGTCCGGCCCATCTCAGATTGACACGAATGAACCTCTCGGAGTATTTATTTTCTTGTCTTGCCTACAAAGGCCACCGACAGTGATAAACTGAGAAGTAAATGTGCAATTTTTACATGGCTGAAATTATAAGAGCTTCCTCTGCCCTTCTAACACAGATCATCCCCCACTACACACTGGAATATTCCTTCAAGGAATTAGTTTTCCCCTTAATGAACATGTGCACCCTAAAGTTGAAGCATAGCCCATCCTCAGTAACAAGATAATAAAATATTTTTGTAATACCTATATTTTTAAGTCTTTTTCATGACTTTATTGTTTACTTCTTAGGTAAGGTAGTCCAAGTCTTCCAAGTTTTGCATAAAAAAAATCCTATCTACTTTTCTTTAAAAACTTGCAAAGTGAAACACAAACCAAATCTTTATTTATGCTAAATGCTAGCAAAACCCTGGCTCCTCCTCTCTCCTTCCTTCCCCTGGCATATACTTACTTGTACTGAAAAGAAAATATCCCTTAAAATAAAAATTACTTTCTGAAACAAAAATATATATTAAGAAAATAATTACTTTACCTATTATAACGTGCATGCCAAGTCTTGCCAAATGCTTCACAGTTTGGTAACCAATTCCTTTAGCACCTCCAGTCACTATAGCAACCTTTCCATTTTGTGTAGG